ATAGTATCCCCTGACTATAATACCCACATATACTGCTTAAATTGTAAAGTACCCTGGGTATTTTAGTCCACGCTGTACGGTAATTGAGAAATTTGGAGTTCTGAGTAGCCATCCGAACCGACATCTGGAGCGCAACCTTGTACATATTTTCGGTATGTTTCAAATTAAATTAATGACGTATTTGTTTTGAAATAAGTAATTTATAAATTATATATATATATATGAATAATTTACTATTAGAAAAATACACTATTTCATTTTCTGATATCTGAATTTCAAAACGGAGCTTTGAGTTTTTTAAACTTCCACTTATTTTCGAACCAATTTAGTTCTGAATCACCTAATGCCACTTTTACATCATAATTAAAAACTGACTTCGAATAACCAAAAAAAAGGTCAATACATATTTTCTACTTTCTAAACAGCTAAAGGTGTAAACCAAAATTTAATCGTGATTTAGATAAGAAATAAGCTACGTTTATTATCGACAAAAAAAAAGTAATATCATGTAATTAAATATAAATTTAGAGTAATTTCTAAGGAACCTTCAATGTAAAATAATATTAATACTCAATTCACGGAATTGCAAATCAGAATTAATTATAGAAAATAATTTAATTCTGCTATTTTTAAAAAAAAAATAAAAAAAGAAGAATTATAAATTGAAACAGAAATTATTATCCATTATCGTAAATGGATTTATACAAGGTCTGGCTCTGGTATATTTCACCAATTTTATGCCTTTAATAGACCCCAAGTATAGTAGACAGTTGAGAGTTTAAATTCCAATAAAAATTAAAAAACTGGTTAAAATTATTCCGCCTATACTACTAACAATTTCAATAAACAAACGCGTTTGAGAAGAGGTCGAATTATTTGTTGATGGTTTAGTTGTTGTTGGACCGGGTCTTGTCATGCTAGTAGGTTGGAATGGAATTTCTATTTGACTAGAGCTTGCCGAAACAACAGGGCTGGTACACTGTAAAGCCCCACACTGGGCGCAACTGATCTGATAACCATAATCACAAGTATTACCAGTAGGACTACATTCATATACGTGTGTGAATTGTTGCAGCCTGAATAAACCAAATTTGAAGGTGTCAAAAAAAGTTTGCGGACCGTAAATACAATTTAAATTCATTATTTACCAATTTACCTTGACCGATTTGACCACCACAGTATTCTCCTTGAGCCAACCACCCAGTAGGGCACTTGCAGGGTGTATTATAGTCACATTGTGCTAGGACTATAGAAATAAAGGCTAATAACAAAATAATGCAATAAGGTCTTTGTATCATTTTTGGGATGTAGAACGGTTATTTTATTACCAAAGTAAGGAATGCGTAAGAAATGCAAATTTATAAAAACATGTAGATTCAGTGTTAGCAAAACATGGACATTTATTGACTATGTCCATACTGTCCATATTTTTCTATTGGAAATAAGGCGCTTAGTCCAAATCAAACAAGTGGGCACGCTATTCCGGGTAAAATAAGCCAAAATTAGAGTAAATCCCGAAAAATTCGCAAAGAAGGTATGGCCATTATATTTTTTTAAAGACCGTATTTTTGACAACATTATTATGGACACTATTTGGATTAGTCAATGTCCATATTTGTCCAAGTCCAAACGCTAACACTGTGTAGATTAGGTATTGAAAATTGATACAAAATAAGTTATATGGGAATAAATGCAAACCAACTAATATAAGACTCGATCAGCTCACCTTACCGACAATTATTTAATCGACAGTTCATTTGGCCTACATCACACTGTGTAACATTTTAGCTTGTTATTAGTTGTATTTATATATTGTTAGTAAATTGCACTTTGCGTAATATCGACTAAATGAACTGGAGTCGAATGATTGTTGATTCATTTATCTATGATCGTCAATTTCAGATCAACGGAATACAACTCCATTTCTCCGAAATGTTATATAAAATTATTTGTTAATATTATTTACATTAAGAAGTTCGGCTATGATGCCCCTAAATGATTAACTTTTAAATGCAATATTAACCGACTTGCAAAATTACTTAATCAGGACAATTTTTATTAACTTTGGATTTTATTTTTGATATTTGATTTTTTTAATAAAAGACTTAATTCGCCATAATTTAATGCATCGTTGGCTTGTTAATTTGATTGTAAAAATTTCAATTAAATAAATAATTGCTATGTTTAGGCTAATAAGAAAAAATAAATAAATAGTTTTCTTAAAATTGAATCTGTAGCGTAAATAAGAAATTATTTTATGTACAACGATAAACGATCGTAATACTATGACTAAATAAGAAATTAAATGGGAGCACTTTTCGAGTACTTGATAATTAATTACTACGTTCACAAGCTAAATAAACAAATAAGCAAAAGCAAAATAACGTTTGTATTATATAAAAAATTTGATTAACAAATGATAGTTATATTTAGACTAAATCAACCGAAAATGAGGAATAAGTTGACATCTGATTTCAAATAAAATAAGTAACATGGTTATTTCGAATTATGTGAACTTTTAATCTTATTTTTTTTCTTAAAAAAAAAATATTTGCAAACATCATCTTCACATGGTCTTATTTAATTTCTGAATGATGAATGATAGTTATATATAGACTAAATCAATGAGATTGTGTGTTTCAAAGTTAATGAGTTGCAGCTGATTTCAAATAAAATAAGTGACATTATTTTTATTTAGAAAAAAATTTACTGCATTATCTTCACATGGTCTTATTTAATTTTCTAAATTAGAAATTTCAAAACATAATAGGAAGAAATTAAATGAGAGATATGTTAATGCTGTTGATCTTTAGAGCTAAAGCAAAACAAAAATTATACTTCAATTTAGAATTTCAAAATAATGCATTTCATAAATAAATGATCGTAAAATAAATGCTTTATAAAATAAGTAAAGTTTGAACGAAGTGACAAAGAAAACATTATTGCAGGCTTTATTTTCGGTTACGTGTGTAATTTGTGTTTTATCTCTTTATGATGGTGCATTAAACAGCCAATTTAATTTGCGTCTATTACTTATAATTTTATCCAGTACAAATTACAAAATAAAATTATAAATCTTAATAAAACGAAAATACAATTGTTAAGAGATATATAAAAATTATTTCTAATCGATTCGTGTTCTTTTTTTTTCAAAAAAGTACAATTCCTCGTTTTAATTTAAAAATTTGCGAAAGTAATGTATACGTCAGTAAAACACCTGGAAAATGTGGGTCATCCGAAAAGTTAGGTCATATGTATTGTACAGTCGGAACTAGAAATAAAAATTTCACACGTACGTACGTGCGCCACCTTGTTAATAAAACATTAGTTTACCACTATTTAAATAAATTATAATATCAATAATGTTTTTCGTTTACTTTTTCTTCCTGCAAAAAAAAAAAAAATGGCGATGAAAATTCGTTATAAAAATGTATTTTAATATTGTAAGCTTTATTTCGTTACATGCAAGAAACCATCAAATTAGGGCCTAGATAGGCAAACCATAGAATATATCAAATCTACCTATGTCACTTCGCAAAATACTTTCGTCGCTTAAAAGTTAAAAGTTGAAACTATAATAGCCAAAGTGAAAAATTTGCAATGATCAGCCGTTTAATAAAGATACTTATGTTGGTATTTTAAGTCTTTTATAATTAAACAATTAATAATAATTCATAATTATTTAATAACTATTAGCAACGAATATCTAATAAGTATACAATATTGGTGTTATCCGGCAATTTATGATCATGGCGCCAATCCTTCCTCCCCCCTATAAATAGATTTTAGATCTAG